GACCTTGGATCAGTCCTGCTGCCTTTAGGCGCCTAGCATTCACCGAACGGGCAGGCATGTCCACAGCGAAGAGTGCATTGCTGATTTTGGCCCGTGAGTGGATTTGCCGCATGAGCCTATCTTCCAGATTGGATGCAGCGACACCTAGAGGTGCCCGCGCATGGCAGGCAGGAACCGAACTCAGCGCCGCAGGAAGCCATCAGACCAGGGACACTACAACAAGCTCGAAGAAGGAGCAAGCAAGGAATTTAAGTTTCGAGCAACTCCGAACGCATGATTTGGGCTGCGTCCGTCTGCTTCCCTCGCCTAAGAACACCGTCGCCATGTCACCCCGGCTTTGGTTGTGACGATGTTATCATCTGCTTGAGTCGCTAGCCTGCCGAGACCTCAGAGATCAAAGCAGCACATCACCAGTACTACATCAGCACGAAAAGTCGAACCAAGTAGAAGCTTTGTCAGGTACATGCGCCGTCTTTGGGTTCCACACCCGGAGCTGGTCCTGAACTTACAGCTTAGCTGCTGCTCGGCTTTGCACAAGTGCACAAGGCAAGCCAAAGACAACATAGGATAACTTCTCAGCAAACCTGCAATGCCAAACCCTCAGATTGATTCGACACGCCGAATTCGCAGGAACCTCGACATCTGACAAAGTTCAGCGGGTCCCAAGACAGTTAATCTTGTCAAGTCTAGCCTACGCCAAGCCTTGTCAGAGAAAGCGCCATTCCTGGGCAAGACGTGCTGCTGAGTTGCTGGGGTCTCATCGTGCTTTTAGGGGCTCCAGAAACTACGTAGTAACATGTAATAATTGTGAGTAGCGCTGAGTTGCCGTCTTAGATGAGCATGGGTCATGGGCTGGCCAGAGTGTTTTGGCGGAGGGTTTTAGAGCTAGACTCAGTTAGAGGAATGGGAAGCATGCAAGAACCGGGAACGAATAAGCAACGAACGAAAGGAACAAGATCACAGCTGGAGTACAGGAGGACGAACAGTCACCCACGACACTTCCATCCGCTTTCACAACCTACAGTGAAGATTCTACAGAAGGTGCGTGATTGACAGCAGAGCCTGATGAAGGGGCTCAGCGTCCATCCAGGTGTGGGCCCCGTGCTGGCTTCATGACGTCATCGACGGCATCGCTACGCCTTCTCCCCATTTCGTCATATCACATCATTTACATGCAAACTGGTCAACGCGCCCTTTGGCAGACTCAGGTTCGCCACAGAAGACGGTGAGGCGTCGGCGAGCATGCACTTCTGACATGGCTTGATTCATCACACTGTGACTGCAGATGCTATTAATCATCAGGCGGACCTGGATCGCCTTCCCTTTTTGAGGCTTCAGCGCTCATGATCCGGTCGTTGGGCTCACGTTGCCGTGCAGGGAGGAGGAGGGACTGGCGCAAGGGGAGGAGGAGAACTTGAATCGCATGTGGCGGTCCAACGACGTGGGCCCTGGGGCCCTTCATATGACACAAGTTACTCATCATGTTCTGAAACCCAGCAACCACTTTTGTGGTTTTCCGTCTGATGCACGGCCCATGTCAGAGCAGCGGTGCTCAATGGATTCGGGATCCGTCGAGCTGAGTTTGCTTGTCGTGTCGCAAAAATGCAGGCGTTTGAAGCCGGGACGGCGGGGATCGACGATCTGGAAGAAGTGCAGCCTCAACAGGTCCGATGCCTCAGTGCGAGAGTCATGAAAGAGTCTCGAGATTCTGTGCGAGTGTAGGATCATCGAGAAACTGTATCGCATGGTTGCCACCAGCTACTGTTTCCTCCGATTCTTCGCTCTGGTATACAGTGCTGGTACAAATCACCATGCCGAAGCATCTGTTTAGAAGGAGCTCTGGACTTTGCGGAGTCGTTGTAAAAGCCGGCAAACTTATGACCAAGATCCCCACGTCAAGCTTTTCGAAGTGCAGAGCTTTGGCTTTGGTCACCTTCTTTGTGGGCTTGGACCTTTTGGACTTCCTCGCGTTCTCCGGTGCGCTTGGACTTCGTGTCTTCTGTTGTTTCGAGCAAGTTCGGGGTCTGATGATGCTGCAAGTATGCTGACATCATCTGCAGGTTTGTTTTGGCCAGAGCGGGCGGTGTTTTCATGGAAGGTCCTTGACGGGCTGCCAGAGGTGATTGGTGTCGACAATGTCTGCCTACTGGACACCGTCACGAAAGCGGCGCTGCTGCAGACCGTAAGGGCCAGCTCCTGATTGCATGGAACCGCTGCAGGCAGGGTTGGAAGAGTGTTCGCAATCCCTCAGTTGTCAGGCGAGGTTCAAGAAGCAAGTCATCTACACATGGGTCTCGCGCATTCTCCTGGCAGTGAACCCGTTCCAGGTGGACACCTGGAAGGGACATGTGAGCTTCGAACTTCTCTTGTGCAGGCTTTGCCTCTCTACTCCTCGGAGATGCTTGACAAGTACAGGCTTTTGGCATCTTTTGGCCACAGCTTCGACGCGCTGCTTGCTCTTGACTTGTTGCCAGGTTCGCTTCTGAGCCACAGGTCTGGATCCAAGCCATGGAAACAGCCCCAGCGAGAAGGATGCTCGCGCATGCAGAGGCCCTGCCCCCGCACGTCTTCTGCATTGCCGCAGATGCATTGCGCAGCCCCAAGACGTCAACGTTGTATTGGGTGTTGGTACATCCGGAATGGAGCCTTGTCAAGTGCATCCCCCAAGCCACGAGTGCCAGGGAATCCCTGGAAGCACTGAGCCGGAACAACAGAAGCCAACATGGCATTGGAGTCCCAATGACCCTGTAGGCCAGTTGTGATGGCCAGGTCGAACTTGCAGATCTCTCGGAAAGACCAGGCATGTTTTTCGGAGTGTCGGCACATGTGACCATGCAGGATAGTGGCATGTTCTTGGGACCCTGTTGCATCTTTATAGAGTGCGAGTGGACATAGGATGATGTGGGGATGTCCGAGTCTTTCGAAGAGTTCAGACGCGGCAAAGGCGATTGTCATCAACGGAGAGTCAGAATCCCATGCTGCAGTTGCCGAGAATGCTCTTGTCTAGAGTCCAGCTCACAAGGTCGGGAGCGGGTAAAACGGAGTCTGCCAAGCTTGTCATGTCCTACGTGGCCGAGGCGGTGGAAGCTACAGTGGCATAGCGGCACAGCAGATAGCCATGATAGCCACTGCAGCGCAGCAACCAGACCTCGGGAAGGCTATGAAGTCTGCCGAGACCCAGGAGCCAAGCGCTTAAAGTCTTAAAGGCTGTTTTTCAGCGCCCTCTGACCTCCTTCCCCCCACAGGCAACAGTCCGAAGGCTTCGAGGAGAAGGCCAGGCCAGGGGCTCTCCCCCGGCTCCTTACGGCCAGAGCTGTTCTTCCCAATCTCGCGCGGAGACCGGATCGGAAGGTTCTCCGTACCAATCCCGATGGAAGCTTTCGGGAATGCTGCAGCCCTGGCTTCTACTCGGGTTGGGCTCGGATTTGAGCAGCGGGCTCCGGGCTGGCCATTCAAAATAGTATGTCAAAACCGCGCTCGGCCAGCCAATCGAGAATTCAGCCACGCGCGCTGAGGCGATGACGGTGCGGAACAACAACTCGTCCAGGCTGCAGATTAAACTAAGAAAGCCATCTTATTATCTTGAGAAGTCTGCCACAGATTGATTGAAGGTTTGTAAAATGGCTCAACTTCCAGCTAGAGGGCGACAGGCTCATCGGGCTGGAAACTCAAAGCTACGCGAGGTGCACTTTGCAGAGCTGTGCAAAGTGTGCTTCAAGGTGTCAGATACAACAGTACCTCCTGGAGGTAGAACGCTTTCTTTTATCTGTGTCTGCAGCGGATCGTTTGACAATGCCGACTAGCCCAGTCTTGCTGTCGGTCATTGGCATTGCAAGGAACACGGGTGTGCAGCGTCGGAAAGGGCGAAAGAACCTACCACGTGTTTTTCCAGATGCTACAGGCGGGGCATGGATGTTTTAAATGGTGGTATGGTAGATGGATGTAAATAGCAAGCAAAGTGCCGGCTTTTTATGGAGGCCCGTCGCTCGCCTGCTCCTCATTCCGAAGCCGCCGCTGTTATGATGGACAGGGTGCACATGGGCATACCCACGCTCGCAGAGAGAGAGAGAGAGAGAGAGAGACAGGGGTCCTAAGGCCTGAGGGTCGGGACACCGACCCCTACGCCCTGCAGAAGGAAAGAAAGAAAAGACAGGGGTCCTCGGACCCCCGCCTCAAACGTCGCGCAAGCAAGCAAGCAAGAGGGAGAGTCTGTGTGTTGAATCGTCCCCGAGCTGACCGTTGCCTTCCCCCGAAAACTCCCAAGGGCGCAGTTGGGCCGGGGGGCTTGAGATGCCCCTTACACTCGAAGGAAGAAGAAGTTACACAGACACAGACACACAGAGAAACGCACAGACACTCTCACTCGCTCTTTCTCCCGCACGTGCTTGGATTGGTTGGATTGTTTGCACAACAGAATTCGTCTGTCCCAGGCCCTTGCTGGAGAAGTTGGAGCTGGATGACCCCAATGGTAAGAGACCGAGCGTCAACGTGGATGTCGCGATTGCGGTGTGGCACAGGCTATCGTTACACCAAAGCCGGGGAATTCGCAACGACCTCAGCAGAGAGCACAGAAGTCACGCCGCAGTAGAGACGCAGCCTTCCGCCGGCGAGGCCGTGCCTGGCATGGACGACCTCCTCGGCTTCGAGGAGCTTCGTGAGGCAAGCAACCCGTGCCTGCTGCGTTGTGTCACAGATCATCGCCCAGTGGCGCCCAGCCTGTGCCTGTAGGCTTTTGCTCCGCTGGGGATTGACGACGCGATGCAGGCATCAAACGGTGTAAGTGTATTCTGTGCAAGGCTGTGTGTAGTTGGGAGCGGAACCGCCATGTCGCAGGCCGAGCTCTTCCGAGTTCTCGCAGCGGCTTTGCGCTTACTCCGCAACTTGTCCGGTCCACGGGAAGCAGCGACGCGAGCTTGCGACAGGTGCTGAACTTGGGTAACTGCGCCGGCCTCATGCGAGAGAGAAGTCTTGGGTCTGTGAGGGCCACGCCTGCGGCCGAGGCACGTTTAAGTCCGAGTCCGAAGACAGGCACCTGGGTGCCTGAAGACCTGGGAGCGCTGTCTGACCGTGCCATCCACGCGGGCATGAGGTCGTCGAAGTTAGGAGCGGTTGCTTTCTCGCATTAGCATGACTGACTGTCTTCCGACTGGCTTTGCTCCTTTCTCTTTGTTAAACGAAGCAAGGGTGGCCATCTGTGAAGGAAACCACTGCTTTCCGTGCGGCCCCAACTGTTGAACCATCTATTTCGCGACGTGCTGTTTTGTTGCTTGACAGTGTGGGACGCACCAGCTTGTGCCGCCCGCAGAGCATAAGAAGATGACAAATGAAGATCAGCAGACGACATGACCTGACGAAGAAAGCACCAAGCCTAAGCACTCAAAGAGGGAATCGAGGCCCGAGTCAGGGAGATCACAGCAAGATAATTTGACAAGAATCGAGAGATACATCCGTGCCCGGGTGGCAGGAGCACACCTCGTCTAACCAGTGAAACTGCTTGTCTGTCCACACCTATCGACGGTTACATGTGCAGACATTCAGCATCAATATGCATCAATCATCAGATGCAGTCCTAGGGCGTCTGCCCAAACCGACAGGGCCAATGGGTCTACCCTCGTTTTTGCTTTGGTGATTGCTGTTGCGGCTAGAACTTTTTTCCGAGTTTCAGTCACAAGCCTCACTGACAAACCAAGTTCATGGATGAAGCAAGGATGCACCCCTGTACGAAGCTGTCCTTCACCAGGCTTGGATTTCTCGATGAAGTACCGGTCCAACGTGCTGCCAAGCTGCTGAGTTTACCGGTGGAGGCGCCGTGTGTGCGTGTGTGACGTTCGGAAGGGGCAGATGTGCCGGCTGAAGCCTCAGGATCTGAAGAAGTGCATGCTCGTGCGCAAGATTACAGTAGGCCTGCCGTGCACTTGGCAGACTTGGGCAGCAGAGAGGAGTGGTGCTGACAGGGCGTGACGTGATGGAGTCTCCGCAACGCCAAGAGCAGGACTGCTTGTCGGGTAGAGGGAGTGAGATTCAAATTCAATTCAAGTTCCGCAGCCAGCTTGAATCATCGAGATCGCGTTGGTAGTGTTCGTCAAGCAGGCAAAAACGTCTTTTTGGCCGCACAGACAAGCCAGTTCGTGGCCACGAGAAAACAGCTACCCTGCCGTGGTGTTGCACACAACCGTTTTCGTCGGAACATCCGCAATGCCAATCGAGAACATCCTGAATGAAGGCATGCCTCCATGCTAGAACCATCTACAACCGAGATCAGACTCGTGTAGACTGCAGACGAACGCCCGAGCAGGCGATCGCCAGCCGGGACAGTTTGAGCAACCCGACGCTGGTGGATTGAGTCGCAGCTTCCGAGCTAATCGAGCTGCTCGATTATGAGCAGCCAAGGCAAATGTCTCTACATGCAGCTCTTCGCTTGGGCCGTGGATACCATCAACCGCACGCTGTATGTCAGCGGCCGAGAACACCCCAGAATCAGGCCCAGGCATTCGTCCTTTGCTTTCGTCTTTGCTGCCCAGCCAGAGATTTGGCAAGGTCAGCGATTCGCCGAGGACTTCCGTCCGTGTGTTTGCCATGTAGTCGTGACATTTTGTGGAAGCCACGCGTGCGCCTCGCGTGAAGGGCACATGACAAGCAGAGGCAGTGCCTGGGTATACTCGATATTGCCCTGTCCTGAGTCTAACACATCATGCGCTAGCCGCTCCTCGTCAAGCAAAACTGAAACAAGCACTTTCTTTGAGCCTCGACGCAGCTGAGGCCGGCTTCGAATGCACCTATCTCAGAGACTGCGTATTTTGAAGGGTTCGATTCGATCGTGTGAACTCCTTACAGCTGCAGGCTTCGATCATAACTCCTTGGAGCAACTTCTGATCAACCTATGTAATGCCCCTCAGACAAAGTCAGCACATTCAATCTTTGACAGGCATGAAGAGAGCTGTTCTCGCCAGGAACATCTCCAGCAGTTCTTCAACACTTTCGTGGCTCGGCAAGTCAACAGAAGCACTCGAAATGATGCAGCTGGTCTTGCCTATCAGATCGGTTCGAGCTGCAAGTCTGCAAGGTTTTCCGGTCGGAGCTGGACGATTATGAGAAGGAAGGCATGCTTGATGATACGGGCTCTTTGCAAATATCTGCACATGGTGCCATAATGTGTGAGCACTGCATATATAAGACTCGAAGGCTTGAAGTTTCAATGCGACGTGAGCTTCACTGACAATGCTGACGTGCCCCGTAAGATTGCAGACATTTGGCTTCTGGATGCAGCTTCTCATGTCTCCCGAAAGGCACATTGCGTCTAACTGAATCATACTCATCGTGAGTCAGGTGCTTCAGCTTGTTGATGGTCGCGGCGGTTTGCTGGATATGCTAGACGAGGAGGCACGGAGTCGCACAGCTGCACCGCGGCGTGAGTTTGCCAAGTGGCTCTTATTGCGACAGGTCGTGATGCCGAAAGCCACTGATGAATCCTATGTGTCCAAAGTGAAAGCAGGCAGTTGGTCCTTTGGAATTAGTGCTAGTGCTTGCCCAGGGGCAGTGTTTGCAGGTCACTCAAAGCATCAGTGCTTCGTTCTCTCGAAGATCAACAGCCGAGTCAAGTTCGGAGTGTGCAGCCCGTTTTGCTCCCGTTGCAAGGGCATGGTGCGGGGTTCTTGGGGCTGCATTCTTGCCACGGGCCACTGAGGTGAAGCACTTCGCAGGCGAAGTACCTGGCTCAGCGCAGCTCTTATTTTCGATTCTCAAGACGACAAGTTTCAGGTGACATACAACTGCGAGGGCTTTCTGCAAAAGAATGCGGACAAGCCGCCGGACGACTTCATGAAGCTGCTGTCAGTCTCAGAGCCCCTCGAACTGAAACAGCCATCGGAGTTAACAGTTGGCAGATGCGAATTCGACTTGGCGCAGGCTTGACCTCCTGAAGCAACTGTCGATGGATCCTGGGCAGGAGGTCCAAGCCTCCAAGCATCAGCAGACACTGAGACAGCCCTCCACAAAAACCCCACCGCTTCCCCATTCCGCAGCTCCGATACATGGAACCAGGCTGCCACGCCTGCGAAGGCCTCCAGCCGGAAGCCGAAATCAACGTCATCCAAGCGGCTGAACTCAGATGCTTTGAGTCTTTGAGCCGACAGACGAAGTCAAGGGCGCGTGCCACCAATTGGAGCGGCATGGCCCAGGTTTCGTTCCTCCCTGCGGACCTTGGTTGGCAAGATCAGCTCTTCGGACCCACATTTCATCAGGTGCATCAAGCCCAACTCTCAGAAGGCTCGCCCTGTCTTGCAATTTCAGTCGTCTCCTTGCTTGCAAAACGAGATGTATGGGTCCTTTTGCACAGGTTCCTGGCCAGTTTGATTCACGGATGGTGGGTCTGGCCTGGGTTCCTCAAATCACTCAGAGTGCACCTCAGACGAAGATGTCGAGCCAGGTGCTGGAACAGCTGCTGTTCAGCGGCGTCTTGGAAGCAGCAGGGACCCTAACAAGGTGACGAGAGTGGAGTGTCTAGATTTGGTGGAGGAATGTGCGCAGGTTCACATCCGTCAGCAGGGCTACGCGTCGAGGCTGTCGTATGTCGACTTCCTGAGCAGGCCAGCGGCCAGTGCCGTCCACCTTTGCACTGTCTGGAGCCTCTCAGCCAGAGGTATGCCAGCCTGGCCGCGTCCAGTGCGCATCAGAGGAATGCCAGCGCAGCTGGGACAGATACGATGTCGGACTGTTCTTTTTGTAGGGTTCTCCTTGCTGAGTATGCATCAGGAACGCACCGAACCATCGTTGCCACAGTTTGAGCACACCGAGGGCTGCATGACGCGCACATCAAGCAGATGTGATATGTCGTATACCTTTTGTGAGAGCTCTGGTCCCAATTAAGGAACTGGCCAGTCACTTGAACGAGAAGCTGTCTCTGGACATTGAAGTCGGCAAGACCAAGGTGTTCATGAAGGCATTCGTGGCAAGACTAGAATTCCGAAGCAATAAAACTTGGATCTCCTGAAAAGTACCCGTAGGATCCGGGATTTGATGCACCTTTACGTCCTGCCTGTGGATGGGGCTCCTTTTCACAGACACGTCACAGATGGAAGAAGGTGCTGGAAGCACATCGCAGCCGTGTGGTAGTTGCAGGAGACACTCATCTCCCAACCGTGGATTTGCACGCACGCGTGCATGCGCGCCCTCACACTTGCGGGCGGCTGTGCACTCTTAAAGTCGGCTGTGGAAACCTTCAGATTGGTTTGCTGGCATTGTCGGGCCTGCTCGCGCGGAGGCATTTGCAGCCAGCTCCCTGGAGAAGCAGCGGGGACTGAAGCAACCGGCTGAGCCGCGCAAGAACGTAGTCTGCATAACTTTGGCAGTGTGTGAATTCCAGCAGTCGGCTGTTGCTTCGTCTCCATCCAACGTTCCAAATCTTCTCTCCCTATCCCTTTCCATCCCTTGCTCACTCTTGCTGACTCTCGCTGCCAATCTTTCTCTCTCCATGTATATGACACAGAGCACTGTATGTGTATTTCTATTATATGCAGGCATAATTATTATTATGTAATCATGTGTCTACGTATTATGCATACATATATATATATACACACACAGAGACATGTGTTTTTTTTCTCTCTCTTCGCTAGGTGTCTGATCTCTCTATTTGTCTACCTTGTTCGTGCCCTCATGTGTTCAGTCTCTGTCGTTCGCCCTCTGTCTCCATCTCTCACGAGACCGACGAACTGATGCGAAGGATGTCCATACCATGACACCATGATCCCACGACATCTCGCGACCCCGATCCCGAGGCGCGCGCAAATGGCCACCAAGCTGCAGGCCATCGTGCGAGCGAGGCAGATGGCCAAGTCTATTTCAGCGCATATAAAGGCTGATGTCTTGGGAATCTTGAGTGTCTAAGTCTCGATTTATCGCTCGCCGTGACAAGCATCTGCACAACGTGCCAGAATCGAATTCTTATGTAATGCTTGTGCAGACTGCACAAGCTTCCGCGGCGCAGCATAAACTTGGCGTGGCCGTCGTGAGAGCGTGGAGCAGGAGCTAAATCCCACGAATTGAAGATTGGGGCGGGAGCGGGAGTAAACAGGAGGATCATGCATAATTAGACCTTCGTTTGTCCCGATGTGATGCTTTAGCATTACGCTCACATGACGGCAGGTTCGCCAGGAATCGCTTTACTGCAACACGAGCTACGATGAAGGCACTCATGGACTGCTTGAGGCAGGTAGAGCGGCCGAACCGCCTTAACGCGTCCTTAAATCTGTCATGGTAGGTTACCTCATGTAGCGTGGTAGTGGCGCCCGGTGCAGGCGGATTGGTTGGGACAGTCGCAAACCTGAGAAGAATCAGCCGGGGACGCGACTTTTCCTCTGGGACGTGCGGGTGAGGGATGCTTGGGAAGAGCTGCTTGCAGAGGCCCATACCTCTGTTGGGGAAGCTGGGTACAGAGGCTCGGTCCTCAGATTGCCTCCGTCCAGTATTGTCCAGCATCTGTCCAGTGTTGTCCATCAAGAGCATTTATGGCCTACTATGCTGCTGCATCATAAGACTTGTCATGTCTTGTCAATCTTGTCATTAACCGTCATGTCTCGTGATTCATCGTACTGGCACCTTGCAAGAGTCACTCAGGCCAGGGCATTCTTGGGAGACTTGGAGCACGCTGAGAAAGCTCTGCTATGGGCCCAAGCCAGATTTTGAAAATTCTTTCCAGTTTTCGCCCGCCCGCTGCGTCGCTGTTCCTTGAGGCCGCATCTACCCTGCTCGGACAGACTGCGATCTGTTTCGCAGGCCACCTTAGAGATGCAGTTCTGGAGAGTAGCCTTCCTCTCGTGCGGTTGACCCGCTTCCGCACCGCAAGCAAAGGCTGCGTCCAGCCGCCTTGCAAAGGACATTCCGTGTCAGTGGCGCCGAGTATGAGCCAAGCTTGCGAAGCCCAGGAGCTGCAGTGCATGGAGCAACTGGAGGCTTTAGTATCGGCCTCAGTCGGCCTCACTCTTCGAGACGAGCCGTCTGTGGATCTCGTCGGAAAGAGGCAAAAAGCACAGATGCCGTGGAGATCGAGAAAGCCTTAGCCAGAGTCCGGGACACGGCGAGCTTTTGCCATGCTGTTTCGAGTTTGTCGGGGTGCTGTCCGGCTAATGATTGCTGCGCAGAGTGGATCGAGTGTAGATCTGCCATATCTGCACTAAGCGGTCCGCACAAAGCGCACAGGGAACCACGATGACCGCAGCAAAAGTCCGAGAGCGCATCACAAGAGACGTGAAGCCTCGTGTCACGGTTCCAAGGCCACCTCCTTGCAGCTGCCGCCGACGAGCTTGACGCAGGAGCACCTTCCGCTCCGCTGCAAGGAGTGGGTGTGTGTGTTGCGGTAGCCCTGCAGCTCATGCCTTCTTGAATTTGTTCACCTTGTCTCACTGTGTTGATCTGTTTTGCAGGCGCTTCAGGTTCAAGTGCCGCTGGTGGAGGTGCATGCAGTAAACAGGGATATGAAGCAAAGCCGGAGTCCTGAAGGCCCTGCGCTCGGCATCGGATGAAAAGAATCTGGAGTCTCTTATCCGCATCATTGAAGAGGCAGGGCAAGCGCAATTGCGTGAATCTCCAGCACGTGCTTGGATGTTCGCAGAGAACGCATATCACCAGGCGAACAAGAAGGGCTTCAAGCTGGATCCGACAGGCACGTGCGAAGCCTGGAGCAGGCTGTCATTGTGCAGTGTATGCGGCTTGCAAAGCTGTGAAGGTTGGCTACCCGAACTTGCAGTCGGCGAATTGCTCCGACAGGCACGACTGTTGAACGACACTGCCTGCAAGCGCAGGGTGCCATAGCTGGAATCTTCCGAGTGCCCAAATTGATTCTCCCTTGCTTGCAGAGAGTGCAAGTGTAGGTCACCACTAGAAGTCAGCAAGAAAAGTTGCGATGCCAAAACATATAATGCTCCTCTCCTGGCACAGAGGCACTACAAAGCTTTCAAATACAGGCGATCCTTGCACTCGTGCCGAAGAATGATGGGCGACAGGGAGTGAGTGCTGGCTAGAGTGTTCTGATCAGGGATTGAAAGGGCTAAGTGACTCCTGTCGGCTGTACCTGTTCCCCTGCTTTACATCTCAGAACAGACCCAGTAAGGCAGAAAGGACATGGGGTGAGACCACCGCCTGGATGGACAGGGGGGGGCGCCTGGAATCATGCATGATAGACGGAGGGCGAAGCTACATTACTCGACGAAGAACTGCTGCAAGATGCAGAAACCGTTTGGCCGTTACCTCCGGGACGACCTGACCTGGATGTTCCGACCACCGCACGTGCGCTGTAGACTCTAGACGTCTGCACCGTGTAGCCACACCGGCTGAACCGATAAGATTCTGACCACGGAAGCCGCGTCTCTGGTGGCCCGCATGGAGGTTGGCGAGCTGACAGAGGGGTTGCCCCCCCAGCGACTGAGATTTGTCGCGTTTTTGTAACTAGGGACGGTCAGAGCTCGTGTGTTCTTCACACGGACCGCGGATAGCAGCTCTGCGACTTGAGTCATCCAATGTAGGGAGGGGGCTGGGGGTGGGTGGAATGGGAACCTGGAGCTACTAAAGAGTCTGTTGCAATTCCCTGTCTGTTCGGCAGGTGGATGCCCAGCGCCTGAAGCACGAAGCGCAACAGAAACTAGAAGCGGAGACCAGGCAGCGGCAGGAGCAGCAGCAGCGGCAGGAGCAGCAGCAGCGGCAGGAGCAGCAGCAGCAGCAACAGCAGCCGCCGCCACTTCATGCCCAACCTGCACCAGCCGCAACCATTCAGCCAACACCTGTGCATACATCCAGCACAGAAGGTGTGCTGCATGTGGGGCGTTTGCCCACCACGGCACCTCCACAAAGTGCATCGCTTGGCCAAGCTGATGGCAAGGGGCACGGTGCTTGGCATGGCAAGAGACATCAACAGACTATTCCTGACATGAGTGATCCTGAACGATAGCTTTGTCACACCGGCAAGGTCTACAGCTGAAAGACGGCGCCGGCCAACGATTACAGGCATAGTCCTGCGGGTTTCACAGATCTGTTTGAGGAGTCTCTTCTGCACATGTTCCGGAATTGAGATACCTCAGGATTCAGCTCCTTTCAGCAGACGCAACTTCTTGCGACCCGGCCGAACCTTTTGTTTCCCCAAGCACTTGTTCCTCGCGTGCACGAGGCTACGGGCTGTTTGCAGTGGAGCGCTGACCGAACAGGCGAACTAGAGGGCATGGCATGGCTGAGGCTAGCCTGCGAGCTGCTGCGGAGAACTTGGACTCAGCCGGACCAGCCGGCTTGGAGCAGCTGCTCCAAGAGGCCACGCGCAACGGCATCGAGGAGGCCGAGCTTCAGGCAGGGGCTCTGGGCTTCAGGTGGCCTGGGTTTGACCTCGTCCCCGCAAGGAGTACCACAAGAAGATGTGCGATTTGCAGAACGAGGCCTTCCTTCGGCAGGCTGTGGAACAAGTTCTGGAGGAGGTCAAGGCCAGGTGGGATGCTGCCCTGTCTGCATTTGTGCTGCAACATGCTGCGACCTAACAAAGGCAGAGTGTCCTCCACCGAATGCACTGCCCCGTGACTGAGAAATTGATCAAGTGTAGGGTCGTGGTGTCGTCGTCAGAGTGATGAATCGCAATTGTTGCCTAGAGTGACCACCGAGGCAAAAGCTGCAGAACTTGTCACACCAGCTGCGAGTGTTGCACGGGGATGCCGAGCTCATCAGATCAGCATCGCAAGCAGTGCGGCCACTCGTTGCAGTTGGCATCCGGCAAGATGATGCACCATGATGCACCATGCTTCGAACTTCGCATTAAAGCGATGGACAGAGTGTGGCAAGGCAGGGAACTCGGCGGCGAACGAAAAGCATCGCCCCAGCTCGAGACGGCCGCCGGGCAAGTGCCTTCGATGCGCCTCGGCACGCTGAGCGCCGGCGCAGCGAGCATTTTGAGAGAAATCAGGCTTCTGGGGCGCCTCGGCCCAGGTCAAGAGCTCGGAGGAGCTGCGAGTGGCCTGCGAAGCCTTCAGCGACCTCAGCTCTTTCTCCAAACTGAAGAACGAAGGCTCAAAGAGCGGTGCTGTGAGCCGTGCCATAACGGCGTGCTCATGCGTGCTCTTGAGCTCTGGGGAGGCGCATGGAAGGGCCATCGAAGCAGCCTCCAGTTGGAGTTGGCTCCTTTCGCTGGGAAGATGCTGGGCCATTCGAAGGCCTTGGGAGCGCAGCATAGCGCAGCTTACGAGCCGCTTCGAGACACCTGAGCTTGAGGTGACAATCGCCGAGTCGCTGACACACCTGCCAAAGTCGCGCGAGGCTGCGTGCAGCCCATGTTCGCTTCTGGCTCAGCTGCATGGTGCTACAGGCTGCGGCCATTCAGACCTTCCGAAACATTCTAGTTTGGATGGGGGATCGCCCAGCACAAGAGTGCCAGCGCATCGCAAGTGTTGGCCTCAGCATGCCGATGGTAAGAGCAGCAACACCTGTCCCTGTTCAGATGCACAGGCAGGGAGAGCGTCATCAACACGGCACCCTATCCAAACTTAGTTGGCAAATTCTTCGGATGCTTGTCCGTGGCTACGACGAGGTTAGTTCAGATCCGTTCATGCGCGATGAAACCTTCGTTCAAATCTTGAAGCACCTAAGCTGGAATTCGATGGCTTCTTCAGGGACACTCTTGCCGCTGCCACTATCCTTTCCCATGCAGAGTTCTCCTCGGACCAGGCAGCTCAGTGGCAATCCATCAGCCCGCTCCGAGTGGCTGGGTTGGCAGCTGCTCCTGCAGCGCCTCGGCCACATCCATGTCCGTGGGAGTGGGTAGGGATTTGATTCGATGTTATTCATATTCATGCTGTAGATGTGGCTGGTGTGGCTCGATGAAGTCAAGTCTTCTTGCTTAGGCTGTGCCATACCACACCTCCAAGTGACGAGCCGCTCTTCTGCACCTTACTGCCAGTTATATAGATGAGAGACCATACACGATGCTGATCAGGCTGGACGATTTCGTGCGCTTCTTTTGCGCTCAGGCCGCCAAGTTTGCTGGGGTGGTTCGAACATGGCAATAGGAAGCTGAAGCAGCAAAATAAGCTACCAGTAGCACCGCAACAGCCTGTTGCCCTGAGAAAACGAGTGCGGCGCCCTTGAGCTCTGGCGATGCACGTGCCCTGGAGCTCGAAAGACTTGCCAGAGAATGCTTGGAGGCACAGATGGCCGATCATGACTCATGACGATTGCATCAGTCTCATCTCCATTAAGACGCATGAAGATGTCCACTTGCAGTGTTACAACCCTCCTGAAAGGCATTGACGGCTGCAGCACCCACCAAAGGCACAGATGATGATACGTCTGGAGACATGGTCGGTGTGTTGGTGTACTTGATAGACGGCTCTTCACAGCCACTTGACAAACAAGCAGCTCGGTGGGCCGTGCCATACTGCGCCATTGGTGAGCATTCCTGCAATTCGCCTCAAGGAATTTGTTCGTGCCGGTGGCAACGACTCTCAAAGAGATGTCTTCCCTAATGGGAAGCAGAGTCGGTGTGAAGCACTGGCGGGACTTTGCATTCTTTCAAGCGACTGGCAAGGCTGAGTCGCTCAGGCACCAGGGACGTTTGCACAGTAAGCGTGGTGTCCTTGTGGATGTACCGTGGATATTGTCCAGCTCGTGGCAGGATGCTTCCAGACATCCTTCCCGTATCGGAGCTGATCAGCATGTGGCAGAAAATACGCGAAGCCACTGGCTTGGCAGGCGCGCAGAAAGCAACAGAAGTTGACCGGAAGCCAGAAAGAGATGCTTGGGGTGAACCCGTGCATAAACTGACACCTTAGGCCACCTGCACTGGCGGCGGCGGTTTCTGTTACCTCAGGTCAGGCCTGCAGTCCTGTCAGTGCTCCGTGTCGTGTGTTGTCCTTGCTTCCTTTTCCTTTGCTCGCTGCTTTGTTTGTGGACTTGTCATGGCAGCTTAGCCCTGGGAAAGAGTCGAGTTCTTTCCATGTTCTTTGGTAGTGTGATGTTTTTTAGTTTGTTGGTGAAAGTGAGGGGAAGGGACAGTTGTGGCTTCTTCGTGCATGGAGCTTCGAGATTAGACCCGAATTTCGCATATGTGCTCTGGATGCGACTGACGATGTAGAGGTGGCAGCCCCTTGACAAGACCGGTTTCTTGATTCGTTTCGACGATGCTGCACATGCACAATCCGAAACCGGAGACATCTGAGACCTAATCTCCAAATCCCGAACAGCCCAGTCCTAACCAAATCAACCCAGTCTCCTAAATCACGCGGCAAACCTGTGGAAAAATGCACACATGCTGCAGGGTGTGCGAGGTTCGGCCCTGAAGTGAAGCTGTGCGACGCACAATTGACAATGGATTCCGTCCCTTCGGCGATTACACGTAAGTGCGAGTTTGTTGAGCTCGAGCAGGAGATGCTCCAGGCTGGAGATCTGCATCACGCGGCTCTCACGTTTCGACAGGCAATAGCACATTGTTTGTGTCGGCTGCCTTGTGTGCACTGAGTCGCGGTGTCGGGATTTCAGGCTGTGCGCAGCCACTTGCACCGGCCTGCTCCGTGCGCTTTGCCGGCACTTAGCTGACATAGCCAAAAGGCAAAAGGCTCCTGCGTACGAATCTGGCCCATTACCCGTACTGCTGCTCTCTTGACTGGCGCAGGCCCCTGCTCCGTTGTTAGGAAGGGGTGGAGCTGGACCTCGATTAGCAAAGCAAACTAGAAAGCACGGCTTTCTGGGAGGTCTGACACAGTAATAGCATGCGATATGGCGATGTCATGAAAAGGTTGACGTCACCCTTATCTTTCCTGGCCGACAAAAACTACTCTAAGCTCTTGGTACAGTGCTAGCTGCAGTAATATCCTCCTCATACAGTAGTATCGGTGCATCGTTCTCTCATGCGGGTCTACATGATACAGAGTCTGTCTGTATGTAAAGCCGAGCCGGTATGATGTAGATGTCATGTCTGAATATGTCTGAAACAAGCGGCACAAGCCTCAGCTCCGTGTCCGGCGGAGGTCAGGCTGGGGGCGAGGCCGAGGAGATGATGACGGCCGCGGCCCTTTTGTGGTTGGAGAGCTCCATGGCAGCCAAGGGCGAAAGATTGACAAAGGCATCTAAAAGCCAGGAAAGCCACCGTGAGCACTTCTGAATGTGACACGGAGAGTTTCTTTCAATACGGGAGCTTTCCACTGGAAGAGCTTGCTGAAGTATTGCACCTCCTGCTTTGCAACAGATGCTCGCTTAGTCTTGCTTGGCAAAGCCCACTACGCAGTGAAATTCACGCGACCACGAGGTTATAACCCATTGCAACAGATCAAGGATAACGACAGGCTTGTTCACGAGCTCCTGAAGGCCTGTTAGAGCTCTCGAGCGACACAGCCCATTCTGAACTCCACTCTTCAGGGGCAGATGAGCGGCCTGAAACCGACGCAGCAAGATGCTGTCAAGCAGCGCCTGCAAGCAAAGGCCAGGGCGCGTCCGGCATCCGTTCTTTTCGGCTCCTCGGTTGGAGATCTCGGACGTCTCTGGCAGGTCAAGGACTTGCGAAAGGAGTATGGGCCGCGGGTTCCGCAACTGCAACGTATGACGAGGGCTTTTGCCCTAATGACACTCGGAGAAAGTTCATGATGGATATGATGGCAGCACCCCACATCACACACGGATGCTTGGGATGCTCCTAGCAGCGCTCAGGCGCTGCTTTCCACATTTTGGCACCCAGCACTGGCCGGCGAAAGGGATCTCTGCAGCCAAAGTGGCCTGGCCCGGAGCGAGAAGAGTTTTCGTAGCGTGACTCGTTGATGGCTGCGAGGTTTATGCTGCGGGAACCATGGCGGTAAGCAATCCGCCAGAGAAGTGCTCTGCTCTGCAACGAGTTGATGTGCACCAGCACCAGGTGGCCGGTTTTATGGTAGACTGTGCCAAATCCTGAAGCCGAATCATGCTGAAGCCGCAGTACCCATGCTCCAGCTATGTTACGTTGCTCAAGGTATTTGGCGCTGCACTTGCGCCAGACGGAGCCGGAGCTTTGGATTTTCGTCGATACCTTCGGCTTGCACCTGGCTCCGGCGCTGGCCAGTCGAAGCACGGCATGAACAAAGCCTGTAGGTCCTTGAGTTCAAAGGCAGTCCGTCGTTAATCCACTGGTACCTTGAAGGCTCGGCCACAGCGTTGCGAGTCCCCTCGTGACGTCGTTTCCCCTTGGCACTTCCGTTAGTTTGTGCTGCTTGTCCAAGACACAAATGGGGCAGCGCTCTGGAGCTTTCTCTTCCAAGACACCACTTCAGCGTCCCACTGGCTGTTGTCTTCCTCTGCCCACGGCTTCAGAAGCTGCTGATCTTCGGTGTGAGCTGGGCCAGGTCTGGCGACAGCGAAGTCCAGGATGACGCTTTGAACTCGCCCTCAAGCGCGAAGCTTGCCTGCACAGCTTTCAAACGGCAGCGTAGCGCATGAATGCGCATGAACCGCTTAGAGACTTCGTTTCTCGAGGTTCCGCAGGAGATCGCTAAGCGAGCTGGTAGCCGATGACAGTCTTGGGCCCAGCATGGCAGCCTGAGGCCCTGAGGCATATCTGCAGGCTTCCTACCTGTGCTGTCGTTGCCTCTACTGGTACTTTGTTGGGGAGACACTTCCCGCCACACGCTATGCTTGTAGGTGCCACTACGCCGTCTGCAAGACGCAACCTTCGACTGCACAATCAATGTGGACGGTTGCTTCGCAGCTTAGCTCGCCTTGGAAAGACAAAGATGCCCTGCGGAATGGCCAAGTCTGCAAGACATGCTCTGCAAGCAAGTCAGGATGGGGTGCCAAGCCCGGTGCGCTGCAACTTGTTGTGCCTCTTGGCTTCTTCAGCAATCCTGAAAGACCAAACTTCTCTAGCAACTTGGACACCAAGTTCCCAGTCGTGCTTGTGTGTCTGTCAACCATAAGCTTCCACAACGATCGCTGACGTTTCGAGTAGACTGAGTAGACTCGCAGTTGTTGTCGACATGCATTTCAGCACCATGGGGGTTGGACTGAAGAGGCACACTGCGGATCTGGGGCGGTCGGCTCCAAAGCTGCCGCAGTTGGTAACCCTCGCTTGCCCGGACGCTTTGGATGTATGTCGCCTGCAAGAAGCTTCTGCAGTGGGTCTGCCTTCACACGCTGTCCTGCACTGTCCTGTGCCAAGGCCGCCTTTGTTGTACATAGCGCGCTCTGCGAACTCTTGCAGCTGCCGACTACATGCTCTTAAAAATGAGTGGCGAATCTCTGTGGAGTTGATGCACTACGCAGCTGTCGTTTGCGGGGTGGTGCGGTGCGTACCTTGTTGTTGGTTCCTGAAGCACAGGCCGAACAGGGCCCTGCGCGTGCACAGCTTAATCGACTGGCAGGTTCCTGACACTTTCCTCACCGATGGAAGAAGGGCATCAACTTACATCACATCGGGCCGTTACAAGAAGTTGAAATTGTGAAAACCCATGGCCTTTTGGGAAATTTTGGGAGGGTGTGCTATCGCTTATCGAGTGTTTCTTTCGGCCACGTCGGGCATGCTTTTCGCGGGTGCGACTTTGCGAGTCTTACAGTGAGTGCTCTCAGACAGGCATGAGTGCATTCGAAGACTTAAGACACAATCATCCCGGCTTCGGCCAGCCACCAACATCAAACATCCACCAAAGGAATGCATGCCGCCTGCACTGTGCGGTGATGGCATTCCCCAAACCAGCTGCCGAAGCATGCCCATCATAATTCCATAATATTCCATAGTGTTGCAAGTCAATGTATCTGGACTGGACTGGGAGCGCAGGAACACGGTAATTCGCCTGCATCACGCTGCGTCAACAAATGCAGCAGAAAAAAGCTTCTCGATCATCGCTCGAAAATGCCAACATACCCCATGCGGCTGCGCAGCAATACGTTTTTCTGCCGAGGGAGCCGCCTGTACTCCAAATCTGCGCGAATTCCGGCTGCATTTGGCGGTTGGAATCCAAGACCCCGCTTTTCCTAAGCACCGTGCCAGAAGTCAAAAAGTGGCAGGCTGGCAAAGGCAAAGGCGTGAAGGAAACGACGCATGGCGGCGGCCCTATTTCCAACACGCAACATAGTCAACATATATCATCTACCGCTGCAGCATTTTCTCGGCGTGTGCAACGGCAGCCGGCGCATTCGCTGCGCGTGCCCCGTGTGTTCAAGGATGTTTGGGGGGCACATACCCAGAGCACGCGAGGGTCCACAAAAGTTGTCCGTGCTTGGATGGAATGGATCCCCCTTGCCGCCATTGGGGGAATCCCGTACTCCCGCTTGTTAGTATGAGCGTTTGCCGGCTGGGGATGGGGCGCAAAGCGCCAGGAGCAAGCACAGCCGCCAAAAGTGAGCTCCAGCGATTCTCACGTGAAACCATCGCCCGTTGAGAAAGTCGCGATTGGGTCTGACTGAGCGTCGTCTTCCGGGCATGGGCTTTGCTCAAGGGGCCTTTACTTTAATTGGACCCTCCGCCCAAAGACCGCGACATGACCCTGCATAGCCCCAGACGCCCTTGGGCTGGTGTGGGCTGTCGAGACCCCAAGTTTCGCTCACGACCGGCCGGGCCTTACCTGGCCGGAATTACTGCACGCTGAGGACCCGGACCGTCCCGTTGACTTCACCTGCAGCTGGCACAGGTCCACGATTTCGCTACCGCTGTGTCCGAGTCATCGCCAGTGGGCGTCCGCTTTGAGGAGGGTCGCAGCTGGCTGTCAGCAACCACCGGCTCCATGTCGGTTTCCGATTATTTTGTTGTACATGTGCCATCCTGGCTGGTGGGATAGACGCAAGAAGCCATCACGGCTCGGCCAACGGCCCATGTGCTGGGTGCAGTAGCGCAGCAGCGCTAGCGCAAGTGTGAAGTCTGCATCTCCCAAAACATTTAGGAAAACACAAAAAATTTTAAAGGAGACTAACCCCGAAGGAGAAAGAGGGGAAGGCAAAGGCGAAAAAGGAAACCACTAATCCTTAATGACCGAAATGGCCCGGAAAATGGAAATGCCAAGT